ATAAATTATAATATATAATAAATTAATAATAATAGCATATTAATATAATATATTAGTAATATACTAATTTATATAATATAATATATTATTTATATATGTTAAAATTACGGATGTCAAATTGGCTCGTCATTTGCGAACAGCTTTTCGGCTTGTTCGTAAGAAACGAACATGAATATTGACTTTACGAACAATTTCGAACACGAGTTTATTTCAAACAAACTAAATTTCAAATGAACAGAACACGAACACAAGCTCTGTACTTTCGTGTTCAGTTCATTTACCCCGCTAATGTCACCGCACAGCAACCACACTACACTCACTCGAAAAAAAAAAAAAAAATTAAAAAACCGTCATCACAAAAATATTTAAAAAAATAGTATCACGTCGAATAAAATAATTAAATATTAGATATATAAATATATGAATTACATGGTATATATCTACATTTTCATGTTCAGTTCATTTACACAGCTAATTTTCACCACACAGCAACCACACTACACTCACTCGAAAAAAAATAAAAATTTAAAAAACCGTCATCACAAAAATATTTAAAAAAATAGTATCACGTCGAATAAAATAATTAAATATTAGATATATAAATATATGAATTACATGGTATATATCTACATGCTCCAAAATTAAAATTTATATAAATTAAGCCCACGACAAATTCAGAAACTTTATGCTGATCACTAATTCTGTTCCATCAATCTGACATCCCATTGATTAGCTCGTCCTGTATTCTTAGCGAATTTTTGTGGGAAAGTCGCTCATTATTTCAATGGACCCACCTAGTTCATTTTTCTAAACCAGACTGGGACCCGTTGATTTACTCCACATGTATAGCATCTAAGTTTTAATTTTTTTTAATATTACTATTTTATCTTTTGCATTTCAGGATAAGCAGCTTATCCTAAAATGCAGAATCTGCGCCAAACGGACTCTAAATCTTATTAGAGAAGACTAATGCTTTTGGCTGGACTTTTGGTTAAGTCTTCTAGAAAAGCATCAACATTTCTTCAGGACTGCATTCACTATTCTATATTCACCGAAAGTCGGCTGCTTTCTCCGAATAATTAATATTCTCAGCGACTTCAAATAAGAAATAAAGAACATCTTGACTTAGTTTATATTATTTATTATCATTAAACTAAAGATTTTAACAGCAACTTGATTCACCAAGTCTTGCCATACAATAATATTCTCCGAATCTATCTTTTTTTAATTCCGCCTATGAATAAAATTCTGATTGTTTGGGTGTTATCTAGCTAATACTGAATAATAAAAGCTATTTCATGTATTTTGATCGAACTTTTTCTATTGAATTTCAGAAATTTTTAAATTGCTGAACTTAAAAAGTTCAATAAAACTTATAATTATTTAATATCTTTTATATTTTGTGTTCAAAGTGAATTTAAATTTTTTTTCGTAATCTACTATCTCATTTTTCTTATAATGATACATAATAACATCTTTTAAATTTGCCAATATAGACAAAAATAATCACTATTTTTGTTCACACCAATGTAGAATCGATGTGTCAACATGATTGCCCACCTCTTCAACGCTCCCCTCGGTGACTCCGAGACCGCAATTGGGGTCGGCACGGTCGGCTCATCAGAAGCCATAATGCTCGCCGGACTCGCCTTCAAACGACGATGGCAGAACAAAATGAGAGCTCAGGGGAAACCCTATGACAAGCCCAACATTGTCACAGGTGCCAATGTTCAGGTACCTATCAGCTCTCAGCCAAACACATTAAACCAAACCATTCACAATATGCACACAATTAGTTTCCTAATTGTGTCAAAATGATTATGGATTGGGTTCTGCAGGTTTGTTGGGAGAAATTTGCTAGATATTTTGAGGTGGAATTGAAGGAAGTGAAGCTGAGAGATGGGTACTATGTTATGGATCCTCAGAAGGCCGTTGAGATGGTGGACGAGAATACAATATGTGTTGCTGCCATTTTGGGCTCTACTCTCAATGGAGAGTTTGAAGATGTAAAGCTGCTGAATGATCTGCTTATGAAGAAGAATAAGGAGACAGGGTATGTGCTTAATTATGAAATTATCAAATGTATAATAGATTGTAATTTTATTAGGCTTATTGCAGATGGGAAACACCAATACATGTGGACGCGGCTAGTGGGGGATTCATAGCGCCGTTCCTGTACCCGGAGTTGGAATGGGATTTTAGGCTTCCCCTTGTTAAGAGTATTAACGTGAGTGGGCACAAGTATGGGCTTGTCTACGCCGGCATCGGCTGGGTTATTTGGAGAAGCAAAGAAGACCTGCCAGAAGAACTTATCTTTCACATCAACTATCTTGGCGCTGATCAGCCCACCTTCACCCTCAATTTCTCCAAAGGTATATTAGTTATTTCAACGTAATTAAGAAAATATTAGTATGAACTAATCCTTTGTAATCTCATAACTAATTCTCTACAATCTTCCAGGGTCAAGCCAGGTGATTGCGCAATACTATCAGCTAATTCGCCTGGGCTTCGAGGTACATTCCAAATTCCAACCAATAAAATCCTTAAACTCTCAATCACAACTATATAAATGTTAAAAACAATAGTTTTATTTAAAAATCCTGTCATGATTTTGCTTAATATTGCAGGGTTACAGGAATATAATGGAGAACTGCCAGGAAAACGCATCCATCCTCAAATCCGGCCTCGAGAGCACCGGCCGGTTCACCATCGTCTCCAAGGACCGTGGCGTCCCGCTCGTCGCCTTCTCTCTCAAAGACCGAAGTCGACATGATGAATTCGAAGTCTCCGACTACCTCCGCCGGTTTGGCTGGATAGTTCCGGCCTACACAATGCCGCCGGATGCGCAGCATGTGACGGTTCTCCGTGTCGTCATCCGTGAGGATTTCAGCCGCACGCTGGCCGAGCGCCTTGTGGCCGACATCCAGAAGGTTCTGCACGAGCTCGATGCACTGCCGTCCAAGTTCTTGGTGATTGCAGCTGGGGCTGAGGGGGCGGCGGAGAAGGCGGAGAAGGTGGCTGGTAAGGATGGGTTGATTGTAGTGAAGAAGTCGGAGATGGAGACGCAGAGGAAGGTTGCTAAAGCTTGGAGGAAGTTCGTTATCGCGCATAAGACCAATGGGGTTTGCTGATTGGTTGATGAATGTCTGTCATGATCAGAGTTTTGCTTCATGTGTATTAACTATTAACTGATTATTTAGTGGCGCAAAACAAACTTTTAAATGTTGAGGGCCGTTGGTTTTCTTTCTATTTATCGCCCGTGTTTTAAACTTCATTTTTATTTCGCTATTGCTAAATGTCCGCTTCTTTAATTCTCTTAGTTTGGTTGGTTTCATTATGTCGCTGCTGCCCCCTTCTTTTGACAATAGAAATCATATATATATACAACTGAAATATGGCTGCACGCACAAGTAATTGCAAAATTCCCATTAAGTGAGGACAAGCATGTAATTTATTGGACTTCTTCTATGACTTAAAATTAGGAGGACATTACCGGGTCTTTTCTCTGAGAGTCAGTGTTATTTATGAATTATTTTTCTTTCTTGCTTTTCTTTTATTCCTCTCATCGAACCAATGATGTAATCCTTAGGCTTAACTCAAAGGGCATTTTGGGATTTAACATCCTAAAAGGTAAGGTGAGCGTGGAGTAATGTCTTCAATATGAAGAGGAGTGCATCAGAATTTCTGCAATAACAAATTCAGGAACTCCAAGATTGGATGGCGAGATAGATTGCAGAATTAACCCGTATGGTGCTTGAGGGGAGGATGCAGTCTCTCCCACAACTGAATCCTGCAACACATGAACCCCAAGATAACCAAGCAGCTCAAGAAGTCGAACGCGTGGAAGAATCCCAATACCCAGAGTGTGTTGGATCGATGTCGAGGAACAGGCTGCAAAAGAGGCAAATAAATATTTATTGTTGATCGGAGAATGTGTGCTCTCAACATATTAGATGAAGAGCCCTTGGAAAAGTTCAAGGTTCCTACTTTGGCACCATACAAGGGCTAGAGCAACTGGTCAATTATATGGCATCCTTTGAGTCAGATATATGCCCTTTCAAAGTTTTAGACACATTAAAATGATGGCTATTCTACACCACGCTCAGGGATTCATCCCTTAGGTGGTTCAACACACTTCCAGTTAGAATTATTACTTTCTTCAGAGATTTCAAAAAAAAATTATTTATGTTGCAGTTCGCTAGTACCAAAAAAGTCCCGCAATGATTCAAAATCCTTGTAGCACGTGCAGTGAGGATCAAATGAGAGTTTACAAGTGTACGTTACACTGATCCAAAAGGAGATGTTTGAAGTGCGAATCATGGAGTTGGCATTCGCAATGGCCGCATTGGCACAACTGCTGAAGAACCCCAGTTTAAGTTTCTTATATTTGCGAAAGTCAATACAAAGTCCTGGAGATGGCCAACAGTCACATTGGAGTGGAGGAGTACGTGAACTCGTCTGTCTTAAAAGGTGAAAAGTCCTTTGAGCAGTCGGGTAAAAAAGGCTTCTGAGATGATGGGTGGAGGGAGAAGGATGGCCCCTGCCCTAAGCAAGAAAGAAGTCAATCGTTCCATAAGGGTAGGGAGTACAAACAAAACACAAGAAGATGCAGCCAATCAAATGATTGCTTTGCTGGTGATCAAGGAACACAAAGAACCATACATTTAAGGGTCTTAATGACATAGTTGATGGAAGCTATTTAAGAAAAGGAATACTTTTGAAGTGTCCCATTGATGAAACCGGACCCTTCCTCTGTAAGGCCAACAAATACTGTAAGTACCACAAAGACCCTGACCATGCTACGGAGAAGTGCAAACACCTCAGAAGTTTGGTAGAAGAACTAATATGTCCAGAGAAGCTCAAGTAGTTTGTGACTTTTGAAGCACGCACTCGGTTGCAGGGGAAGGGCACCTGTGAAGGATGACTCAAATGAACTTTTTCGTGCCAATGCTAAATTAAATTAAAATTAAAATTTAGGATTAAGAGATTCAAAACTTTTAAAGACAGTGGTTACTTTCCTGCATGACATTTGAGTCAGATTTTAAATGGGTTGCATGCATGATTATCACCCAAGTCATAATAATAGGGGCCTCCACATTAGGACTCGAATAGATAAATGCATCATATTGCATGTTCCGAGGAGAATCCCTCGTGTTTCTCCAACCCGATTGGCCCAATGATACACCTAAAATATTTAGTATTTTTAGACACATTTTTATACCTATTTTTGAGATATTTCGCTTTAATGGAAGATGTTTGTGTGTTTTTCTTTCAGTTACAAGTAAAAAAGGTAAAAAATGCTAAAAGGTGTGAAAAATGATCAAATATGGAGCAAAAATACAAAAATGGTGCAAAAGTATTTTGGTGCCTAAGAGCCAGAACCGGCGCTTAAGTGCCGGTGAAACACAGAAAGCCGCGCCTAATCGCCAGAGGCCCCGCGCTTAAGTGTCAGTGACAGTTACTTGACGGTTTAATTCATTTTGATGAATTTTGAAGGAATATTTGAGGCACATATTGGCTAAAATGAGTGGTTATAACCACCAAAGTCGAAAATATAATTAAAAGACTTGTAAAAGGAGACATCCCTTGGTAAATACATTGAATTAGGACACATTTTGAAGAGATACCAAGACGCCTCTTGAAAAATTTTAAAAGAAGAAAGTTAAGACTTTTAGAAGAGTCCTGAAAAGTTCT